AATCGGAGTGATGATTATAACATGTATTTAGAAAGGGGGTCATCAAACATTGATGGTCAGGAATAGACGTTCCTTTTTGCTGTCCTAATTACTTTGAGCCATAACTGTAGGTTTCGTGCATAAACGAACACAAACAGACATATACAAATACAGAGACAGACACACTCAGGCATCGAAGTTGATATATGACCTTAACTAATCAAATCACTTTATATTTGATCAAAGAGGCCAGATGTAAAGTATATATATCACTTTTTAGGGATTTTCCGGTGTGTTTTCTTGACTCGTTAGCTTGAATTTTGTTGTGACGATGGTACCTTGCTCTGATGATGTAAGTCATATGACGGACGAAAGCTTAGCACCTTCTCACCGAAATCGAATGAGATTACCTCGGAAACAGCGTCAGTATGAATCTTCCAGTACCTTGTATTGCCTATACATTGTTTAATTCCACTTTTTTCGATACATTTATTGCCTCAGGTGACTATGGACATTCTTACAGAGATGGGCCATGAAGAATTGAAGGAGCTCGGTGTTACGGTATATGGACAACGCCATAAACTCATCAAGGGCGTGGAACGCATCCGACAAGCCGCTATCCAATCCATAGGACCTGTTTCAAATGTCATTAAGCCTTCAACAGGAACGACTACAACCGTCACTGGCGTCCCCGGCGGACAGTCTTCTACCATTATGGTTGCATCCACATCTGCTGCTAGCACCAGCACTTCCTCTACATCATTGCTTCTATTGGGGACTGGTGGAACATCTTCTGCCACAGGATCTGATGCGGTAGCAGAACCCCGTGTTGGCGTCCAGGCTGTGCACCAGGGATTCACCGGAGTCGGGGTGACTGAGCCCAGCCCCCCAGGGCCGGCTCACTTCCCCCCTGCTGCTCAACGGGCAACCGTATTGGTCGAGTTGGAACGCACTGATCCTGAATTCGTCTCAGTTGAGGAACAGGTTTGTACTCCTTGTTACTTGCAGTATGCTCTCGAAGATTGTTAAATATGTCTTACTTAACAATATTTTGTTGAAGTTGTTTGACCTTGTTTTCGCAACTTGGCCATATTGGTAGGAAGACTTAGATGACGAACCTAGTCCGGAGTCCATTGTATGCATGATAATTTATAAAGTCGGACCGTGGACGTGGTACATTCCCAGACATTTCGCCGGCATCGTCAGTGAGTCTTGCTGCTCTTAGCACCACACTACGACTCGTCAAAGAGACAAGTGAAGCCGATCCTTTGAACAAATGTGTGCTGAACAGTTGTGGTATCTCTCCTGTCCTGGGTTATTCACCTATCCTATATCCTCGTATCACGCCTTTATTATCACAACTTTTTCTTTGTTTATTTAAATATAAATATGGTGTGCCTTTTTGAGTGGCCTTCATGAGAGCCCTCTACACTCAACGCTGGCGTTCTCATCCCTCTTCACCGTTGTGCTGGGAATGTTGATCAGAGTCTGCCATATTTTTACACAGTCCTCCTTCCCTAAGTCTTATCAGAGTCTCCCTCTTGCTCCGTAGGATCCATGTTCAAGTCTTTGCATCATGGACCATGTCTATCGTAAAACAGGCTTAATATCAGCCAACTAGGTCTAGTCTCCGCCGCGTCTAAGCGTGATTTATCATGGACGTGGTCGATGAAGCAAGTCTATTGCTAGTCGGCATCTATCCTGTTTCTATCCATAATACCAAGTCAACGACATCCTATGCCCTAGTCCCTTGCGTGTCAACCCACAAATGTTGTGATTCAACAATTAACCTAAACAAAGTAAGAAGTACCACAACATTTGTGGGTTGACACACAAGAGACTAGGGCATAGGATATAATTGACTTGGTTTTAGGGATAGAAACAGGATAGATGCCGACTAGCAATAGACTTGCTTCATGGACCACGTCCATGATCAATTACCCTTAGACGTGGCGGAGACTAGAGTTACTTGGCTGATAGTAAGCCTGTTTTACGATAGACGTGGTCCATGATGCAAAGACTTGACCATGAGAATTACTAGTGGTCTTTAGCCCTAAGTTAGTCTAGCCGACGTAGTGTGGGAAATAACGCTTCGAGTAGCTCAGATGGGGTGGCAGGGGTCGAGTAAAATACTTGAACCCGGAAGATAGCAGACGGATCCTACGGGGCAAGAGGGAGACTCTGATAAGACTTAGGGAAGGAAGACTGCGTAATAATATGGCAGACTGATCAACATTCCCAGCACAAGGTTGAAGAGGGATGAAAACGCCAGCCTTGAGTGTAGAGGGTTCTTATGAAAGCAGTTCAAAAGGGCACAACATACCACATTTAAATAAAACAAGGAAAAAATTGTGGTAGTGAAGGCGTGATACGAGCATATAGGATAGGTGAATAACCCAGGACAGTAGATACCACAACTGTTTAGCACACATTTGTTCAAAGGATCGGCTTCATTTGTCTCTTTGACGAGTTGTAGTATGGTGCTAAGAACGGCAAGGCGCGCTGACGATGCCGGCGGAATGTCTGGGAATGTACCACGTCCACGGTCCGACTTTGGAAATTATCATTAATACAATGGACTCCAGACTATGTGCGTTCCTCTAAATCTTCCTACTTATATGACTAAGTTGCAAAAACAAGGTCAAACAATTTATATACAACAAAAGGAGACTGCGGCCGCACAAATGGACAC